TCCAGGGAGGAGCAGGATACACTGTCACCTCAACCAGGGTGGCAGGCCAGACTTTAAAGCTGTTTAGATGACATGCAGATTAGGTATGGTGGTGAACGTTTTAATTCTAACATTTGGGAGGCAGAGGCAGGTGGATCTCTGAGGCCAGCCTGGTCTACATAGCAAGTTCCAGGCCATCAAGGGCTACACACTGAGACGCTGTCTCAAAAAGTTACTTTTCCTGATGATCCACAGATGACGTGAGTGAGTGACTGGTTTTTATTTATCACCATTAGAAATGTATTCAGTTGAAAATTACTTAAGTCTGAGCAACACTTCTGAAGCCAATCATTTAATGGCCTCTCAGGATACAGGCCTGGAGGTGGGAAGTCCCCCGAAGGCCTAGGGCATCCTCTGCGTCACTGTTCCTAGTACACTGGCTCTTCATTTTGGAGTTCATTGCCTCGCGGTTGTAGAATAGCTGCTGCAGCTCCAGATATCACAGCCTCATCTGGATGGACTTACAGCTGCTGAAAGGAAGAGGCAGGATGCCAGGTTTTCTGGGCTTGCTTATCATTTCCAGCAAACAAACCCATTCCTAGCCAATCCCTCCTCCCCTTAGCTGAAACTCACCACAGGCCACTCCAACCTGGAACCTGGGATTCAGACAGTGAATTAGGACCATCTCAACAGTACCCCTCCCTGGGACTGGGTGCAGATCTCCCACCAAACCCAGGAGTAGGTGAGGCAACTGGCGGGAGGTATGCCCCTCAGACCTGCCCTCCCCAAGCCCCTGCTGACCCATGAGCACAAGTAGCAGAACCTGTATCCAGACTTCATGGCCTTGCCAATTCATGCTGGAGAAAAAACAGAGACTCAGCACCAATTCATGTGACACGTGATCTTTCACCAGGCACATATATTGAACACAGAGCCCCCTACAAATGGCTAACTTAGAAATGGGCTGTGACATTTAGGCTGACTATAGATGGGTACAAGTCAGCCCTTAATGTCCTGTTGAGGGGACAGTGACCTGGGCCCCTGCTCAGCCGCATCATGTATATGTTTGTATGCTGGGGCCGGAATTATGGTGGTTGTGAGCTACACACCATGGGTGCTTAAAATCAAACCCTGGTCCTCTGCAAAAGCACCAAGCACAGTAAGTACTTTTAACCACCAAGCTGCCCCTTTTCTATTTTTTTGGTGTTTGTATAGGTGTGCACATGCCACAATGTATGTGTGGAGGTCAGAGGACACCCTGCAGGAGTCAGCTCTCTCCATCCACCATATGGGTCCTGGGGATTGAACTCGGGTTATCAGGCTTGGAAGCGAGTACCTTTACTCACTGAGCCATTGAGATGGCCCTCAGGACATTCCTGAAGCATGCTTTATTTGTACCTCGTCCATACCATGGATCCAGTGTCATCTGAACTCCCAGGAAGCAATCAATGGACCAAGACTTAGGGGGGCTTCACCAGCCATCTCTCAGACTAGAGCCCACGGCAGCACCTCCCCCAGTCTCTGTACAGACACAAATGGGCAGGGCTGCCCGAGAGATACCTGACACAGCTTATAACATCTCAGTGGCCTGGACCTTTCCACGATCAGACAGCTTATGAGACATGGACCGGCCTTGCCTGGCTGTGCCTCTGTTCCCGCCACTGAACTGAGTTTCTTGGTCAGGGCTCCCCACTCATCCCTAGATCAAACACCTTTAACCTTTGCAAAGAATCCTTGAATTTTCTGCCTTAAAGCTGCTTCTTGGCTTTTCTTTCAGTTCTGGGCACCGCATGCCTCAATCGCCTCTTTTGAGCTGGGGTCTCACGTAACTAAGGCTGGCTTTGAGCTCACTTTATAGCAGAGGGTGATCTTTAACTTCTAATCCCCTTGTCCCTCTCTCTACTTCCTGAGTACTGAGGTTACAGATGAACACTACCACACCTGGTTTGTGTTGTGCTGGGGATCGAATCCTGGGCTTTGTGCATGCTAACAAGCAGTCTACCATCTGAGACACACCTCCAGTCCTCCAAGTTTACTAATAAAATCCCTAGGCTGGGACTATCATGCAATGGTAGATCATGTGCCAGGCCCTGGGTTTGATCCCCACCACTGTGAACACGCTGGGTGCAGCATTGTGGAAGGTTCAGTGCCCCCTAGCAAGGAGCATGTGGGGTCCTTGCACTGAAGACTTTCTCTGCATTGTGTTAGAAATTCTGAAAGTGTAAGGCACATGGCAGGGTGTATATGGTGTGGGGCTCACTGCTCCTGGACTATTTCTGAGGGCACTGGAGGAAAAGCTCACTCACAGCAGAGCATACCCCACTCACATTTAGAGGGAAAACAAAAGACACGGGTGGATGACATGGTCAGCATTTCTACTTCAGGGAACTGGTTAATCCCAACCAGGAAAGAATCAGGAACATAATTGCACAGCTCTGGGCACAGCATCTGGACAGTCAGTCCCAGTCCCCCTCGCCCTCAGGATTGTCCTCCCGAGGCACCTCCAGGTCGTTGAAGTGGAAGTTGGCCATCATGTCACGTACGGCCAACATCAGCCTGTTCAAGCCTTGATTGCGGTTCGGACCCCCGGCCACTCCTTCCTCCAGCCTCTCCCCCTGAACAATGAGACACAGCTAAGTGGGGGCTGTCTGTACAGATTTGAGACCTGGGGTTTAGCAGTCTGAGGCAGCCCAAGCTCCAAGACTGGGCCTGTCCCCTCCCAAGGTCCCTGCCCAGAAGAAGCAGCTCTAAAAAGCCAAAGCACACGTTTAACCATGGCCAACCTACCGCGACGTTGGGCCGTCTCTCAGCCTCACACTACTTACTCACCTTGAAATGGCTACTGCAAGGTCAGCAGGCCAAGTCCCCACTTCCTAAACATGGCACCACAGGCAGGCACAGTCTCACCATTCCTGCCTCCACCCTGAGCCGGACTTGCCCATAGCAACTTGGGAGGGAAAGACCAATGTGTTCAATCAACATACCTCTGTGGTGTAATTTGGCAATAATGATCGGAAGAAGAGGGCGATTGTGTTGCCATGGCTGACTGGACTCAGCCTGAAAAAGAAAACAAGTTAAGAAAATGAGGTCAGCAGACACTGTGGGGTCCCAGGCCTGGCCCGCTGTTCTTACCCAGTCTCCTAAAGGCTAGGAAGAGGCAGCCTCTAAGTGGAGCTAAGGCTCTGGGTCCTAAACTGCAGAACAGGATCTGGGGTGGGCAGTGATGACTACTAACCAGCCTAGGGTGGAGCTGGGGACACCCAAGAGCAACGAGAAAGGAGAGGTAACCAGTGCCAGAGGGCTGGCTCTTTAGGGACCTAGCCTGCAGGGTCACGTGGAAAGAAGACAAGGTGACTAGCATTTGAAGGCTGGGGACGGCGTTGGCAGTCACAAAGGCAGGCAGTAAAGGTCAGGGCATCTCAGGGGATGCAGCACAGTATCATCACACGTCTGCTCTGGGGACGCCAAGATGGCTCGCTACGCCAGCCTGCCAAGATATTTCTGAATCCACTGGAAATTCTCATCTTAATCTAAATCCTTAAATGGCAGTCACTCTACTCAGCATGTTTGCCAGCGTCTAGATGGCCTGGTGCTCCGTGCTTGGAATGGACTGTGAGGCAATAGACCCAGGTAAGGCAGCTGTCAAGGGTAGGAGGGAAGGGAAATGAGTTCTTTCATGGCCAGACTCTACCAACTGCCCAAATACACATGACAGCCTGGGACTCGGGCCTGTTCCATATTAATGCCTGGCCCACAACCCCATTCTCCGGGCTCGGCCACATGGGCCTTCCTTCATTGCTCACCAGTGGGACCTTACACTCTGCTCTTGGAAGGGGGCTTCTGCACGCTAGAGTACCAGCTGCCATCCTTTGTCTGGTTGGGCCACATCTTTCTACAAAGCAGGTGGCTGTCACTTCCTGGTCTGGCATAACCTTCTTCGTAGTCATTTCTCCCACAGGTTCGTAAGTAAATTTGACCCAATGTCTCTCTAGGTTCTAAGTCTGATGTCTGCTGTACAGTGCACCAGGTCAGAGGTGGCTCTTATTCTGCTTCCCACTGTCCTTCTCACACCTGCTATAAACCTATAGGGAGGTCTCAGACCTTTGGTGGATTCAGAGGACGTTTCATGTTACACTGTGTGTCCCCTATTCCTGAGTGGACTGGCCCTGTTAGCCTGTGCTTGCCTTTTCCTTCTAATCTGTAAGGACAGCTGCGGCAAGTCCCAAAGGACCAACGAGGGGGTGTGGGTTTGGGAACAAAGCAGGGATGGTACCTTTCTGGTCGGACGTAAGAGTAGATGGTGTCCAGGGGAGGCAGAGGATCAAACCCCATCACAGACTGTGTGGTCACATCCTTTAGGAGGGGACAAAAACAGAGATTCTGGAGCACTGCTGGCAGCCTCAGCCTTCCAAGTCTCAGCTGTTGAGACCTGACCCACCTGCCAGGAGGCAGCCACTCACTCCATCTGGCAGAAGTGCTGTTTCTGTTCCAAGAAACTTTGGGTCTAAGTGGAACAGTCTCTCCCAGAGGATAGTCAGGGGAACATGTATGACTTCCCCCACCAGTAGGATGCGGAGCGAAGGGCATTTTCCACAGGCGCTACCATCTACGTCCACGTCACAAATGACCGGCCTGACTACAGACGTGAACTAAGGAGGAGAGCACCGGGTCCCACTGGGCTGCCGGATCACCAGCTGACGCAGCCTTGGCCCACCCCGAGAGTGCCAACAGAAAACACAGCAGGCACAGCTACGTGAAGGACTGCTGCAGGGTCTCCGTCACAGGGGGTGGGACGCCCTGGTGGGATAGCTCACTAACGCAACAATACAGTGAGGAAGGCCCAGAGAAGCTGGCTGAGGGGAAGAGCCCTCTGTACCAGCTCCAGCTCTGCCTGGCACGCAGGCCAATTTGTAGGCAGCTACACTGTGACTGGCACACACAAAGCCCCCATTTTCAACATTCTTCTCTTACCGAGGGGAGGGCAGCAACAGCCTCCTTGATCTCAGAGAGTATCACATGGCGGTGGATGTTTCTGGGTGCACGCTGGTACAGCACCTTCCGCCTGAGGCCAGAGTAGACAATGGCAGATAAACTGATAAACTGGTATAAAACACCAAGTCAACCATACCCACCTTGGGAAAGATCCAGCAAGGACTGGCTTGTTCCAGCTGTGGTAAATAAAACCTCCCATCTCTCATTCTTGGGGGGAAGCTGTACTACTAGCCCTGTGGCAGAGTAGACTCTGAAAGCAGTCTACCAGATCGGTCTGCAATTTGGTCCCTTCATCCGTGAGATGAAAATGAAGACAGCTGTGGGTACTCTGGTGAGACACTAAAGAAGTGTCCACAACAGAATCCCTGGGTGTGTCACTGTTAATACTGTCGTATGGGGCCTGCCGCCTGCTGGGCACAGAGCAGAGAAGCAGCGCAGGGAGAAGTGTGTAGCCCATGCAGCAGTTCTAAGACTGGGGGGTCTAGAGGCAATAGTTTTTCCTCTTCCCCAGTCCTCAGACAGTCTGGAAT